AGGAATTTCTGTTAGAAGAATCAACAACTTCAGATTAATATATCGGCAGTATCAATACTCACCTTACGACGACCAAAGTAGCAACCATCCGGCTCAATAGAACCAAAAAAATCTAACTTCAAGAGGCAACCTTTGAGTTTATCATAGTAAAGGCCTCTAATGGGAAAGGTAGGATCATACTTGAACTTCATGCAAGAATCAGGATATCTGAACTGAAATCGAAAGAACTACAAACAATGAGAAAGAACTGTTCTTGCAAGATAATGCAAGAAATGGAAATAGCACAGACTAACCTCATTAACCAAATGTTCTTTGGCAAGATCATAAATCAAGCACTGTAAATTGGCCGAGTAATGAGCGAGAGTGTAATCGTAGTCAAAACCATACACCTGAATGTTATCTAAGCTCAGATTTTTGTTCACATAGATGCCTAGAGAATTGTGACATTGAGACCAAAAAATAATCAGGAATCATTAGATAAAAGATTTAAATGTCCGAAGCATCAAGAAACGAAGAAGAAAAAACCTTCAGGATTCAACTTCGGCATTGCCCTGAGCGCCTCGGGAATCTTGAGGAAGCTAAGTTTAGCAGCGTCAAATTCCTGACGGATCCTTCGGAGATCCTCATAATCGCGTTCTGCCTCAGCACCCGATGCATAATCCTCCAATTTCAAGATTTTTGGTTCGCAAGAGGAAAGTGAGCTATGGCTTCTAAAACCTCTGCTAAACCCTAAAGAACAGAAAATTCTCAAACGAAATAGTAATCAGTCAGTCTCTCCCCTACATTTAAAGAACACAGCAAGAGATCAAGGGAGAAATGGAGGGTCATTAAAAGAAAGAAGGCATACCATGTCGAGCTCCAGAAGCGAAGTTGGTTGAATACAACTGCGAAAATGTGTTGGTGGAAAAACGAAGTGTACGAAACTTGTGAAAAGAGGCCATGAAAGTAAGTCGGTTGGCCTCAGCCTTGCATATAAGAAATCCAAAGACTCGAATCTATGCTTTGTGTTTCTTTAGCGGAGACCTCCGCCGGTGGAAGCAGATTCTCTTGCAGCTGCTTACAGGGGAGCGGGCAATGTTCAGAGAAGGCCGGGAAAGGCTCCGTGAAGCTATATAAGTAGGGTCCCAATCGATGTAAACCGCCGCCAAATTTACTACCGTGAACCACTAGTTAATATTTATTGTTTAAAAAGATGCTAAATAAAAATAAAAAAAAAATATTCTAATTTCTTTTTTTATTTAAAGAATACTAATAAAAAATTTTGATATTATGATACAGCAAATAATACATTTCCCCCACTTATTACCATCATCCTTCTTTTCCGTACCGCCTTTCACATTTTCTTCCAATGCCATAAATCAAATTAAAAGGAAAAATTAAAAAAAAAAAAAAATAACACCAAAAATATTTTCGGAAATACGGCGTCGCTTAATTTCACGGCTGTTCCGCGTCGTACCCGTAGTACGATAAATACCATCGAACGAACTTCTTCAACCCGGTTCGCAAATCGGTCGTCGGTTTATACCCGAGTTCAACCCGGGCCGAGCTTATATTCGCATGGGTGAAGGGAACGTCGCCGTTTCCAGGCATGTCCAGAATGTTCTTCTTCGCCTTCGTCTTCAGATGTTCCTCCAGAATACGGACCAGCGCCGGCACCGTCACCGGCGACGTGTTCCCCAAATTGAAGATCCGGTAAGCTGCCGGCCCCTTTTTTCTCCCACCCGATCCGGTACTCTTACCAGACGTGTCTAGGGAACCCAAACACCCCTTCACAATGTCATCAATGTAGGTGAAATCCCTGGCCAGATCGACCTTATTTTTCCCGCGATAAACGGTAATCGGTTTTCCCTGAAGAATATTGCGCGTAAACGAAAAATACGCCATGTCGGGTCTTCCCCATGGGCCGTATACGGTGAAGAATCTCAACCCGGTGATGGACAAGCCGTAGATATGATTGTAAGTGTGGGTGATTTCCTCGCCGGCCTTTTTGGTAGCAGCGTAGAGACTCGCCGGCTGATCTGTCCGATCCAATTCGGAGAAAGGGACTTTCTCGTTGAGGCCGTAGACAGAGCTGGAAGAAGCCCAAACAATAGCCGGTTGGGGATTGGCCGATTTGCAAGCCTCGAGAAGGGTAACGAGTCCTGCAATGTTGCTATGAACGTAGGAATTGGGATTCTCCATCGCGTACCTGACGCCGGCTTGGGCCGCTAAATGCATCACGTGGGTGAAAGCGACAATGTCGAGAAGTTTATCGAGTAAACGGGCATCGTTAATATCACCCTCAACGACGAACACGCCGTGACGGTTAACGAGCGCCTTGCGCGCCTTTTTGAGGGAAGGGTCGTAGTAATTGTTGAAATTGTCAAGGCCAACGACGCCATCTCCACGGCGTTTGAGCGCTAGAGAAACATGGGTACCGACAAAACCGGAAGCGCCGGTGACGAGTACGGACATACCACCGGCGCGGTGGATCTCGGCAGAGGTACGGACCTGTTTCTCCCATTGAAGGCCGCCCCAGGAGGCAGAGAGATAGCGAGTACTTGAATCGACGAAGCTTTGGAAGCTGAGATAGGAGACGGTGAGGGCGATTAAAAAGAGAGCCCACAAGAACATGGTGCTGGTGGAGGCGAAGAAGCGGTAGAATTGACGGTTGATTCCATAGCTTCTGTGATCGATTTTGAACTTGCCAGGGGTGGAAGGGAAGAGCTCTTCATCCAATGTTGGCATTTTGTTTGTGTTTGTTCCTCGGGAAATCCGAAAGAAAAGAAGGGGAAAAGAGAAAGAGAAAAGATTATGTGGAATCGGAGAGGCAGAGAGGGAAAATGGTGGAAATGCTATTTATAGGGAGACACGATTGGGGTGGAAATGGAGGAGAGGTATAAAGATATATATATATATAGATATATATATAATAGGGAGGAGAAGAAAAAGGAAGAAGGAAGAAGGGTTTCCTATTTGGTATTGTCTATTATGGTTTCAGGAAGTGTCCGCCATTCAAATTTTGGAGCTCCATGTCGCGTCTTAGTTGACACACAAGGATAAAAACAAAACATGTCTCTTTTATTTTAACATCAACCAAGTATATTTGCCGGTCTTGGACTGCAAGAGACGAGAGATTCTAGGAACTACCAAATGGATTCATCAATTAAAAAACCCACTACAATTTTGCCTATTCCCCCACCTCATCATATCAATTGGGCTCCTAATTACTAATTAATATGCCAAAAGGCCTTCAATTCCTAAGCTTGTTAAATGTGATCGGTCCTCATCATGTTTGTTTATGGTCGTATGTTTGTTTATGATCGGCCTTCAATTCCACGTTAGAAGTGAGTGTTGCATAATCACAAAATGGAGAAGTGGGCTGGAGCCCAAATGAGTGAAATAGAATATGTATTGTTTTGAAAGTTGAGGACATGTGAGAAGTGGTTAGTGGGGGCGGTAATGGGGCTGCGTCTGCTTTACGTAATATTATTGGACACTGCATTCTCCTTAAGTGGAGTGGGTGAATATAGTCTCTCATATTTTATGACAATTTATTCTTTCATAACAGATTTCCTAATAAATTCGTGAAATGCGAATACAATACATAGTAGAAATTAACCTTCATCAACCAAACCATTATAGTAGTAAGTTTACTTATTACATATTAATTCGTGACATAACCACATTTTTAATTATCACCCTCATTTTCCATGCCCGCCTCCATAACCCGACCCGTATCCTCCACCATAGCCCGACCCTCCACCTCCGCTACCACCCGATCCAGAACCCGCTCGAGACCCGGCATACGAGCCTGCTTCAGATCCAGAATCAGAACCCGACCCAGAAGAAGAAGAACTAGAACTCGAACTTGAGCTAGAGCTGGAACTTGATCCAGAGCCAGAGCCAGAGCCGGAGCCGGAACCACTTCCACCAAGCCCAATGCCTATTCCAGCTCCAATCCCAACGCCAACCCCACCCAGGTCAAGGCCCAAATCCTTCCTGGCCACTCGGCTCTCGGATACCACAAGAAGAGACGAAACAAGCATTGCAGCAAGAACTAGAGATTTCAATCTACCCATTATTATTGCTTAATCAAAAGCACTCGAGGAAGTTGAAGCAAATGTTGGAGATGGCAGTTCTGTTTGTGAGGTTAAAGTGAGGAGAAGTATTGGTATTTATAGGGTTATGGGTGCAGAGGAAGGAAGGAAGGAAGGGGCAGGGCGGAGCATGCGCATAGATGGCAACATGCACTAGTGGAGTAGCATGCGCAAGCTGATCTCCAATGCTTTTTCCCCCTCACTATCTTTTGTTTCGTTTGGAATATTCTGGAACAAATATTTAGGTGTAATTCCATATTGTGTGGTGAGGCTATGCTCACATTGCATATCTTTGTTGGGTGGAAATTTCGAGAAGGTGGTGGCTGAGATTTGCATCCACAAAACCACTATACCTATCATCCCGACAGCTCATAATTTGCTTAGGTTTGGTCGGTCTCTCCACTGGTTTTTCATTCATTTTCCACTTCATTATTTATATTACATTATTTGAACTGACTTTTTTTTTTTTATTTATTTAGGGAATTATCGGGTTTATAAATAAAATAGTATATCTCTATTGGTATGAGGCCTTTTAGGGAAACCCAAACTAAAATCATCATGAGAGCTTATGTTCAAAGTGAACAATATCATAGAGAGTCGATTTATAATATGGTATCAGCCTTAAACTTAGGCCATGACGAACAAAGATTGTGAGCCTCAAAAGTGCACTAAAAAGTTTCGAACAAATGATGTACTTTATTCAAGGGCTCTAAAGAAAGGAGTCATGCCTCAATTAAGGGAGTTAATAGTATATTGGATCGTTGGGAGTGAGTCCCACATTGAGTAATTTAGAGAATGTCCATAGGGAAGGATCATAAACTTACAATTAAGTATGAGAGCAGCTGAGTCTATGCTCAAAGTGGATAACATCATCCCGACGAGAGTTGTAATTCCTAACACTATATTATTGGTGTTACGAACTTTCATAATGATATGATATTATTGATTTTGAGTATGAANACACCCTTTTTCTTCTACCAATTATTTGAACGACAGAAAATCATAAGCTGCTTACATAATGACATAAACGATTTATAGTTGCTAATACCATCCGTAGCTGTGGTTTTTATTCGATGTCCTAATTTTGTCTCCGACTCTTTGGTCTCAGTTGTTGCCGCCTTCGCCGTATCCACGTCCCTCGCCATAGCCACGACCCACACCATAACCCTCTCTACCAGAGCCCTCGCCATAGCCACGACCTTCACCATAACCCTCTCCGCCGCCGCCACTACCACCACCGCCATATCCTCTGCCAGAACCCTCGCCGTAGCCCGAACCACCATTCCTGTAATTCCTTCCCGAATCTGAGCCTCCACGTGACCCAGCATAAGAGCCAGCGTAGGAACCAGCTTCTGAGCCTGCACCGGAGCCTCCATAGCTAGAGCTTGACGAGTGTGACGACGAATACGATCCAGAACCAGAACCCGAGCCACTTCCACTGCCACTTCCACTTCCACTTCCACTTCCACTTCCACTTCCACCGCCTAAGCCTAAGCCCAAGCCAACACCAAGGCCAACTCCCAAGCCACCAAGATCAAGACCCAGATCCTTCCTGGCCACACGGCCTTGTGACTCAATCGCAGACATACAGACGACGAAGCAAAGAACAGCAATAGCTCTGATGGAAGTCATTTTGTGAAATATAATTAGATGTGTACATTGCAAAATTGGATGAGGTACTTATAGAATATATTTTGAATGTGAACGTGGTAGAAAACAATGGAGGCATGCGGGTGAGTGTAAATCCTTGCTGTACCATTGTTTTGTCTTTTTGTGGCTGAAAGCGGCCGAGGTTTCGGTTCAAAAGATTTGGATAACCCACTAATCAGTAGGGTGGCAGTATGCTAATCTTTACTACGGGCAAAACCACACAAAATTACATTATTAATTTTCAATTTAAGGTTCAAATTCTCGCATTGTTGATAATGGTTATTGATTGCTAATTAATTAATCATAAGATAACCCTCCATGAACTTAGTGGACGGCTCTGATTCTATTTATTATTATATCATTTTAATAAATTAAACAACTTCCCACGTTTTAAACAATCTCCATACGTCACCCTTACTTTTCATATTTTATCTTATTTTTTTATACTATTCTTTTGAAAATATATTAGAGAATGAAAATTATTATTATTATTCTTTAATCAATTTTTTTTTTTACCAACTAAGTTTAAATTTTTTATATAACTAATATTAAAGATATTTAGTACTAAATTATAGTACCTAAATATAGGTATCTTTTTATATATTGTTTTTTTTATTTTATTTATTACTCTTTTTATATCCTTGTAATTTATTTGATTATAAATAAGATAACTTTCACCCGACAAAACATTCTCAACTAAAATAAATGAAATGAAATCCAAAATTCCCAGGTATGAATATGATATTTTTAAATCACACTATATTTTTCATTCAATTATGAATAGAAATTTAAACTTAATAAATATAGAAATCTAATTATTTGGATCATTAATTTTGTTTGATGGGTGTAGATATCAGATATAGTTACCGTCTATAAAAGTGTTAGAAATATTGTTTATGAGAATTTTATTTGATTAAATAAGTATTTAAGTGGATGTAATTATAAATTAAAATTAGTATTATTTAAGATATGAATATATAAATAAATTCATTATCAATTAAAAAGTAATTATTTTTTCATTAAAGCATGAGTGAAGAGTAATATTAAAAAGTAAATAATTTAATTTAATTACTATGAATAATTCAACTGTAGTGAATATATAGGGTTTAAAAGAGCTCGATTTTGCATATAAATTTGATAAAAGTCTACATCAATATAGTTCGAAACATACAAGAACATGAAAATCTTAGAACAATTTAACGACACTAGACACGAATCATCATATTTTATTTAAATACATAAAACTAAGATGATCTCGATCAGCCATTTGAACCTTAGCTACTACGTTTGATATACGACTTCTTATAACTGGTTGGTTTTCGTTTCATTTTTTTTTAGTTGCCTCCGCCATAACCGCGACCCTCGCCATAGCCATGACCTTCCCCGTATCCTTCACCTCCATTCCTGTTCCGGCCAGAACCTGAGCCCGCCCGAGACCCTGCGTACGAGCCAGCTTCAGACCCAGCTCCGGACCCAGAGCTCGAGCTAGAGGAATAAGATGATGAAGATGAACTGGAGCCAGATCCGGATCCAGAGCCGGAGCCGGAGCCGGAGCCACTGCCACCTAAGCCTAGGCCTATTCCAGTTCCAATTCCAACACCGAGTCCTCCAAGGTCAAGGCCGAGATCCTTCCTGGCCACTCGAGCTTGAGAGACAATGGCGGAGAAAGAGAGTAGAAAGCAAAGAACAAGAAGGGTGTTGAATGAAGCCATTGATTAGAGAATTATGGGTTTGTATTAAAACTTCTGTAGGTTTTGTGGTGGGAATTGGGGAGAGTGGAGAGGGGTATTTATAGTAAATTGTTGAAGCTGAGGTGGCCACTGCAAAAAGCTACCGGCGGCAACTTCTGGGGCTGAGAATGCCCCAAATGGTTTAAAGGTTATGGCGTTTTGACAAGTGTTAAGACTCATTCGCTTGGAGGATTTGGAGAATGGAAAGTGGATATCATTATTCAATAATATTGGTTGCCGACGCCCTCTCCGTCGGTTTGCCCACTAAGTTTAGTGGACTCCAATCCGATAGCCGTTCATGGATGTCGTGTCTATCTAATTAAGAAAAAAAAAAAAAAAAAAGCACGGCAAAAAGTTTAGAGGGAGGGATTTAGTTGAATATATGGTAGCCACTTTCATTCACCTCTTTGGCCCATCTACGCGTTCGAAACGCCAGCGCGATTTGGGGCACTTGTGTTTATCCAAAGAATACACCAACTTCATTGACTTTCCAACCTTGGATAGGTATCAAGCCTCATATATACATGGTCTTACAACTTACCGTTTAAGAATTTCCTTGACATTCAAATATTTTAAGGTTAGTTAGTTTGTTTTTTTAGACTCATTAGATGTTCAATAAATATTTATGGTTCAGTTCATGTGTAACAAGCTTAGCATCTTAGTTGTTAAAATGATAAATTAATAGTAAAAATCTTCTAAAAAAAATTTTAAAACCAAAGATATGCATGTATGATCAATATTACATAAGTTTGGTATTAAAACTATAAGTTCTCATGACTGATGATCATCTCCTTAATTAGCTAATGTACTTGTTCTGGTAAAAAATATGTGTACCAATATAAAGCGGAGGAGAATGCTTTTGGTCCGAGATAATGATATAAAGTAGGGTTGTAGAAATGTCAATATAAATGTCCACGAAAATGACCACAGAGAAAAAAACATGAAGTTGATGAATCCAAATTTTATTAAGTACTGCATACAGAGATACTACATGATTCAAACTGGGTGGAAGAACAAAGCAAGAACATAATCAGGGATTCATCATCATCCATAGCCTTTATTCATCTATCCACACAAATAAGACGATGATTATCCTTATTTCATAACATTTTTTATCTCAGTTTTCGCCGTCATTCCCATAACCATGCCCCTCGCCGTACCCGTGCCCCTCTCCATATCCTTCCCCGCCGCCAGAGCCGCTTCCCCTGCCAGAACCCGCACCATATCCTGACCCCGACCCCGACCCAGATCCAGATCCCCTGTTTCTGTTTCCACCCGACCCAGCGTAAGAGCCGGCGTACGAACCAGCTTCGGACCCAGTGTCAGAGCCAGAGCCAGAGCTGGAGCTTGAGGAGTGCGATGACGAAGCAGAGCTGGACCCAGATCCGGAGCCAGACCCAGACCCAGATCCGGAGCCACTGCCACCCAACCCCAACCCCACGCCGGTGCCAATACCGACGCCAACTCCGCCGAGGTCGAGGCCCAAATCCATCCTTGCGACGCGGCTTTCTGATACAATGACGGACAGAGCAAGCAGCAAAGCGAGAATGGAAACAGCCCTGATGGAAGCCATTTGTGTGCAAGGAAGAATCAGAACTCAGAAGGGAAGGTTCGTACTGAATCAAGCTCTGTTTTTTTGGAGAAGGCAAGAAGGGGGTATCGAAGGTATTTATAGTTTGTTTTCGAATTCTCTGGAAGACAGCGATGATCTGGACAAGTGTTCATAGACAGTGGCCTGGCCACCCCCACCCACTGAGTGTTTAGTGGAATTCCAATACTGGTTTGAAATTTGAATCATATACATTGATGAACAATTGAGTATTTAATGATTAATTTTCATATTCGCCAGCTAAAAAAACAGAGGAACAAAATAAAATGAAACAAAAACCAAAGAATTTAAATTAAGATGGATGAATGAGGAGGTGAAAATATACATTAGGAGGTCAGAAGGATGCTTACGAGAAATCAAAAAGAATGATACAGGCAAAATTCTGCAAAAAGCAATAAAACGAAAGCGCAAAAACTGGCCGGAAATGGGTGTCGGCGCGGCCGTCGTGAGGCTAACTCCGGAACTGTTTGACGACGGAGGAGAGGAACAAGATGAGGTGAGCGAGGAAGAGTAAAAGAGAGGCAAGGATGAGGAAAACGCCGAGCTTCCACCATTTGGCCTGCAGAGTTTTGAGAAACCCTGTTTTGCAGGAGAAGCAATTGTAGCACAAATTTCCTCTGTCATTGTCCCATAAATTGCACTCACTTACGTATGGGCTTGATGGGTTTGGTACCCCTTCCTTCTTCGTCCAGAACGTTGCGTTTACATACTCCATTTCGCAGATTGTTGCCGGCGTGCAGCACCCGGACTAGCACATAAACACGCACGCATACACATCTTAATTCGAAACAGAGTTACAAACACATGGGATTATTGTGGAAAGTATAAGGAGGATTGTTGTTTTACCTCAATGGAGGTCAGCTTCTTGAGACTAAAGTCGTAGGATTTAAGCATCAGAGTTCTGGAGACCAAATCATCACAGGCGCCGGTATCGTAAATACAAGATTTGATGTCCTGCCAATGGGCTTCGTCGAAGACCTTCAATCTGAGCCACTTGGGGGAGGCGGCCACGGAGCGGCTCTCCATTTTATACGCTCCCACAAGCGCAAGCCCAATTATGAAGATCAACAACAATGGCACCATGACGATGAGAAGCCCCAAAACAGGGTGGCGAGACCTGAGGAAAACGACGCCGTTGCTTATCAGAAACAAGAATATGAGGGCAATGCCGATCTCCACCTGGAAACTGGGCAGCTTCAGAATGCTCTCGCAGTCGGAGTATCTGACGTAGAATATCCACACGATGAACCCCAATATTGGGATCGAGAATATCAGCGTCATTGTCGCCAACGCCTTGTCCAAGTTGTTTATTTCAAGAAATGGGTTTTTGTTTTTTGTTGCCGGGACATCGCCGCCGCCGCTGCCCCCGGCTTCTTTGTCTGTGCAGGGCTTGTCTTCAACCGGCACGATTTGTTCCTCTGCAACGACGTTTGCATTGTTATTCTCTGCCATAGTTATTGATTAGAAAGTAAAGATGGCACCTAATCCAGCAATGTAAGTAATGATATATATAGATAAGATGATATGCGTGTGATTAATGTGTAATAATTATGAGTTTTTGTTATAACAAGTCAAAGCTAGGACACGTAATTGGGGATTAAGTTAGTGGAAAGTTCCATGGTTTTGAGGAGATGAGAAATAGTAGGAGTAAGCTTAGAACTAGTTTACTCGACCTAGTTTGACGACTCCAAATAAAAATCTTTATTTATAAATTTATTGACACAGTCCAAAACTTTAACTATATCTACTTTACTTCCCATAAATTAGGAGATTAATGATATTTTGTAATGCAATTACACTCCATTTAATAATTTTTGTTTCAGGGTGAAATAATGGAACATGTTACGTAGATTATTTTCCTGAAATAATGGCCTCTCTGGATTTACCCGTTCGTCATGATCCTCCTCTTCGTCTTCACCATCTTCGCCTTCACACCGTCCCCGCCAACAACAACGGCGCTGGAAAAGTCCTCTCCAACAGAGGCTACGAGTACAGGCTCAGATTACTCCAAATAGCTCCAGAATTCCACTTCTCAGTGATTCAGACATGGTTTTTGTGGACGGTCATACATCCCATGTTGACCTAATATAAAATGGTGAAGGCTTGTCTAGGTTGAAAGCATGTAAAAAGAGTAAAGGGGTGAGTTTGGAAAAAGCCTGTCTAGGTTGAAAGCTGTTGAAAGCAGGTAAAAAGAGTAAATGGGTGAGTTTGGAATAGGCATGCAACTATGAACAAAGAACAGATATCTGTCACAAACTGACAACCGTGACATTTGCAAGAACAATAAGGAGAATCACCACCCGAGATGGAAATGAATTCGTCAGGAGGCCGGGATTCCTTAGGCTACAGTTTTCTTTTCTTTCATTTATGCTCTGTTTTGCTTCTGTTCTTGTTTCGCATGTAGGGATGTATTGCTTTCATTTGGAATATTTTGAATCTATTAAATCGTGTTAAATCATCAATTAGAAAATGGTGATTCCATTTCCAGATTCTTCAAAGAAAATCAAATCCCTCAGTATTCATCAACTGAACAAGTTTAAAACAGGGGAGGAAAAAAGAACACTAGAAAGATCGAAGCTACAATTTGAGTATATTGGATCGAATAACAACCCCCAAGTGTTTTTCAAGGCTTGAAGCATGAAATATCATTCAAATGGAGAGAAAAAAAAAAAAAAAAAAAAAACAGGGGAGGAGGAGTTGACAATCAATCAAGCAGCAGCTGGAGAAGCATTCTTACGCCGAATACCGTCTCCACCCTTAATCATTCTTGAGAGAACATCAGCTTGCTTTGTGTGCCCTTCCTGATTCAGGCTACTGATCAGATCATCGCAGCTGCTCCACTCTTTGGCCCCTCCTTTCTCCATTATCTTGCATAGAATTGAGTATGCGTTCAGCGTCTTCCCCGCTGCCAACAGCGCATCAAGTACTTTCTCATAGCTTGAGACTTCTATGTTGCATTCTCTTTCCAACCCAAAATCTAAAAGCTTGAGAGCAGCAATGGTCTTCCCCTTTTCACAAAGAACAGATAAAAGACTGTCAAAATCAGGTGGGCAACTGCATCTCATTAGCAAATCAACTCGTCCCAATGCCTCTTCTACATGACCTCTCATGAAAAGGGCTTCCAGGATTTTGGCAACCAAGTCCAAGTTCTCTGTTATTCCTTTATCCAACATACTGTTCATCACTCGGCTCGCGGTCTGCACCCTCCCATCTGCAAATAGACTTTCCATCACCGATCGAAACAACGCCGAATCAGGGTAGTGCCCACTTTCAATCATGCTGTCCAAAGCTGTCTTAGCATCAGCTGGTTCACCTTTACTTAAGTAGCTCTTGATTAGCAACTTGTAAGATTCTGCATCCCTAGAAACACTCTTCCTACCCATGATTTTCAACATTTCAAATGCCAATTCAGGATTCCCTTCTTTGGAATGGCCACGGATTAAATTATTGAATGCAATCTCATCCTGGATACCCTTCTTCAACAACTGCCGGAAAAACGTTTCAGCTTTTCCAGTCTGCCCATGGTCGCACAGATACTGAATTATAGGATTATATGCACTAGCCTCCATTTCCAGAGTACTTTGTGGTTTCAAAATGATCTCTTTTTTTACAAGCTTGTCAAGCAACTTAACTGCCCGATCATACACTCCGGCTTTGCAACAGTTCTCGATCAAAATACCGTAGTGCCCAGCCTCTGTTGGAACGCTTAATCGATTCATAGCTTTCAGCACATGCATAGCAGCATCCAAATCACCATGCATGCACTGGCAAGATAACAACCTCATGAAAATTGAGTTGTCCTTAGGAGCAATATACCTATCCACCATTTCTGTCAAAATTTGACCCGCCTCGAACATTTTCTCTGCATCACAGAGACCAGGCAGCAGAGTCGAATAAGTAACGTCATTTGGCTTCACGCCAACAGCCTTCATCTCTTCAAACAATCTCAATCCATCATCTACTCGACCTGAAGAAACGTAACCTTTTATCATAGTAGTATAGCTTATCACTGTTGGCACAATATTCTTCCCCTTCATCTCAGTAAAGAATTGCTCCGCCTCCTCCATCATTTTGAACCGATGATAACCATTAATCATAGTGTTATATGTAACAACGTCAGGGGCAATGCCTCTAGTCTTCATGTCTTCATAAAACCTCTTGGCTGTCTCAAGCCTCAACGACAGAAAGAAACCCCAAAGCATCACATTATAGGTATGGCGAGTTGGTTCTATTCCTTCATTCAACATAGTATTAAAGTACCTCTTCGCCATCATATACCGCCCCCTCCTCAAAATCACCTTAAACAAAGCATCATAAGATTTAATACTCCTTTCAACACCCAATTCCTTCATCTTCTGAAAAATTTTCACGGCCTCCTGAACTATCCCAGCTTTCCCATAACTATCAATCATTATAACGAATAAGTCTTCATCCCATTCAACGCCCTTTTTGGGCATATCAAGAAGAATGCAACGGGCATGATTAAGCTTTGAAGCCCTACCCAAAATCTCAATTATTTTGAAATGTGTTCCACGATCATGCTGGAATAAGCCGGCTCGCTCTACCCATCGGAAGAACTTGAGGGCATGGTCCGAGTTCTTAGCAGCATGTAACACATTCCAAACAAGAGAGTGATCAAATTGGGGTACCAACGACCTAATCGAGTTCTGTAAACGTGTTGTCCATTCACGATTTGCCATCATTCTACAAATAATATCCTCTAATTTTTCAGGGTTACGACGGTTACCTCTAGGGATCGTTCGCTTAACTTGGTCGCCGCCATTAACAGCCACCGGCTCCACGGACTGAGGCACTGCAGCATCTGAACTGACGAAGGGATCATTAGGGCTTTCATTTTGAGTAGGTGTGGAGATTGGATCTTGAGTGGAGCTGAAGAAATGAAGTGAATTGAAGGAGATTAGTTTAGAAATTGAAGAACTGGAAAAAACCTTGAGATGGCTGTAGTGAGGTTTAGATAAAGAAATGTGGGCCATGGATGATAAGATTTCTTCTTCGAATCGTTTTTTCTTAGACCAGTCAAATCTCAATACATTTGAACTTCGTACACACACAGATCTATTGACACAGAGAGAGTGACAGAGCAAAGTCTGTTTAGGGTTTAAGGGAGAAGAAGAAGAAGAAGATAGAAGAAAAAACCCCACGACAGCCCATCCCTATCAACAGAACCGGGTTTAAAATTTGGGCCCAAATCTGCATCAAGCCCACCTGAAGCTTAGAACACAGGTTGGCCCATCTCAATTACTCAGCCAACGATTTTTTTTTTTTTTTAAATTATTAAATTTTTTTAATATAGTATTAAAGCAAAAGGTTTATGTTCCCCATCTTTAAATGTGATTGTTGTCGTGGTTGGATAATGGGTAGGGCGATTGTGGAATGAGGGTAGACTCTCTGCATATATATATGTGGTTAAATCGAACTGAATTTTCGATTATCCAAAAATTCAGCTCAACCCAACTTTTATAATTTAGGTTAAGTAGTTCAGATAATAAGGTCATCGATCTTATGAACACTCATTCATTGTATGAGGTAGGGATGTAGGGGTGGGTTTTGAGTTTGGTAAGCCCATTGTCGGAAACTTGGATATGATACCAACAAACTGAATAAATTGCCTTTTTCTTTCTTTTCTACTTGGTTTGGAGATACCTACCATTCTCTTACTGCCTATGCGCCTTCAAATTACAATCCTTACTAAAGATTTTGAAAATTTTACGCTCATTAACCTCGTGTTTGAAAAGTCTTAATTTGCATTGAAAACGAATACGAAGAAAAGAATGCAAAATATTGGTATACGATAAGTATGATAGATGGTCACACATACTTAAAAGTCGCATGTCATTCGGATGAATGCGACATCGATGCCATAAAAAGAAAGAGGTAGAGATTTCATCGAAAAAGATTCGAAAAGTCATGTGATCGTTATAACGAACGGATGAAATTGAACGTTGAGAGCACGGAGTTGAATTATATAATTCATATTGGTTGCATAAATAAAACGTATGATCAAACTTAGGTGTCCACAAAATGGAGGTGATGGGCAGGTGGTTTGGAGATGGCGTTAGGCGTTGATGTGTGAGTATTGACAAAATTAACAAGTAATTTCATTGTATTTATTGCGATATAATCAGCCAACTTTCACTGCCCCAACTGCCTGCCCGCCCGCCCGCCCGCCTGCCTGCTTCCATGTGTCTTCAATTAATTATGAGTTCATACAATACCAAAACGCATCTTCATAATCATAAACTCCTAACATCCTTAAATTTTAAATATAACAACAATTTCTATCTGCTTTAATTCAAACTATACCTACCCATTCAAACCTATATAGGTTCGTTCATACTATCCATGTGACCCGTGACATTAGCTTATTCAAACCATCCAATGAACTATAACCAAAACGTGTTCCATTAATTTTTTCCAAAACAACCCGTATATCAAATCCAAAAATTCAATAACAAATTTGAAAATAATTCAATTAATTTTGAAATTTG